GTCACGTTGGCTATCTTCCAGTCATTAGGTACGGAAGCCGATTTAAAGGATAGGTTACAAACCACAGATAATAGCTCAGCAATTTCCCATTTGAGTTCTTTTAGAACCCTTGGATGAATGCCATCCGGTCCCGGAGATTTGTTAACATTAAGTTTTTCTATTTGTTCCAAAACCTCCTCTAATGACACTTCACTCCTGGACAGTTCCTCAGATTCATCACCCACAAAGGACGGTGCAGATTTGGGAATCTCCCCAACGTCCTTAGCTGTGAAGACTGAAGCAAAGAAATCATTTAGTTTCTCCGCAATTGCTTTATCGTCCTTGATTTCTCCTTTTATAGCTCGATCATCTAGGGGACCCACAGGTATTTTAGCAGGCTTTCTGCTTCTAATGTACTTTAAAAATATTTTGTTATTTCTTTTTGAGTTTTTGGCTAGCTGTTCCTCAAAATCTTTTTTTGCTTTTCTTATTACATTTTTACACTTGATTTGACAGTGTTTAAGTTCCTTTCTATTTATCTCACTTGGTTCTCAAATAATAAATTTATTCGTACATTTTGTAGCATTGGAAAGTCACCTACAAGTGTGAATTCTCCTGTCATTTTCTCAACTCTTCTGAAAGTGACAGTTTGCAAATAAAAACTTGGAATTACGATAGCCTTTAAAATCCAATTGTGGGAGATTTTACATGGTGGTTAAGCCACAGTGACTCTTTTTTTAGGTCTCTTGCTATGTTTTTTAATTTGGTGTATACATTTAAGTTGGGCCTCTATTATGGTGTCTTTAAAAAGTTTCCATGCAGCTTTCAGGGATTTGGCTCTAGTCACTTTGCCTTTTAATTTCTGTTTAACTAACCTCCTCATTTTTGTGTAATTCCCCTTTTTGAAATTAAATGCCAGGGTGCTGGACTGCTGAGGTGTTCTTCCCACCACAGGAATGTTGAATGTTACTATATTATGGTCACTATTCCCAAGTGGTCCTGTAACCATTATTTCCTGGACCTGATCCTGCATTCTGCTCAGGACTAATTCGAGAATTGCCTCTGTATCCATAACATGCTAGAGGAAAATAAGGAGTCTTCAGGGCTGCCAGTCTTGCAGGAAAGGCTGAGTGGTAGTATATGTCTCCTACATTTTTATTTTCAAAGTGCATTAACTTCGCATGCCATTTCATAGTTGACATGTTTGTAAGTAACTGTTCTCCTTTGTCTCCAGTCTGTCTTCAGATATTCTCGATAGGAGTAGCAGCAGTATTGGTTCTTCCTCTGATTCGCTGGCTAAAGGCAGCATTACCACAGAATCTCCAGTAACATGCTCAAATTCATGCTCTTCATTCATTTTGATGGATGATCTTTCACCTAAGTGACTTAATCAGTTCTGACTCAGTGTTTGGATGTGCTGTTTCCTTGCTGTACATTTGTACAGAGAAAAGAACTCTATCCTTGAGAATCATTAACATGAGGATAAAAATACTAATGGAAAAATTAATCTTGGCAACTCTTCCCAGTGGTTTTAATTTAGCCTCTTTAAAGGACAAGTTATATCTTAATGTCTGGTTTTGATTATTTTACAAACAAGGTGTCCAATTTATATGAACTCTTATTTGTTTTAAAGAAAAAAACCTTTTGATTCCTGAATAGGCAACTATTTACAATATTAGGGGTTTTATTTCTAGGAAAAATGGCGTAATGTTACTATCATGGTCATTTTGTCTGGAGAAACACTTGGTTGCAGAGATGTTTGGAAATACTCATTTATTCTTTGACTCTTTTAGAAACTAGATTTCTTTAGACTTTCATTTCATTAACACAACTTCTGGTTATGATGGGAGAAATATCTAATTTCTCCGACTAACTCAAAGTTATTTTTCCAACTTTGTCATTGCAGCTATTCACAGCCATTTCTGCCCCTGAAGGGGAAGAAATACTACTGGTAATTGTTTCATTGCAGTTGAACACTATGTTTCTGGAAGTTGTTTGCATTTAAAACAAAACACAGACACTTCTAGGGTGACTAGCGTATTAGTTATTAATAGAGGAAATACAAATGCCCTGTGAAACATGATTTACATAACTGCATAGTTCTCTCCCCACATTCTTCATCTTACAGATTCTATGGAATATGGCAAATATTCATAGATAATTGGCCAAGAAGAAATAATCCCTGCCTTGATTTAGAATGCATGGTGCAAGTAACTAAGTTACTTAAACTACTGTGTAAAGAAGAATCTTTCCGAGAATGCCACCATAAAGGGCCTGGATTTCAGTCTCTTTCCTAGCAGCCTAAATTTGGCCTCCAGGACATCTCTCCTACCCTTCCCTACGTCATTGGTATCTACATGTACCACGACCACCGGCTCCTCCCCAGCACCACACATAAGTCTATCTAGATGTCTCGAGAGATCTGAAGGTGTCATCACTAATTCTAACATTGCTCTCCTGCTTTTTATGGTCTGCAAACACTCGCTTTAATAATACTTGGTGAGGTTTTTTTTTTTTTTTTTTAATCAAGGTTTTCCATTGACCAGCAATCTGTGCAGTCTTTCAGTAGCTGGAGAAAAGAAAAAAAGTAGTTTAGATAATGTGTAAGAATTAACTGAGTATCAAACCATTGCGTAAACAAGACTGAGTGATAGACATGTAACTTCGCCTGTAACTTAAAAAATAATAATAATTAAAAAAATGAGTGGCCCTGTAGTCTCTAAGGTGCTTGAGGATCAGTGTTCCCTCTAAGTTGTGGGGGGCACAGCTCAGAGGGAACACTATACAAGATCACTCACTGTTTAAGGTGTTTTTTTTCATAGTAAATAAGTAATTAATTTTCATGAATGAAAATAGGAGTGCTATTACTAACAATGTGTGGATTTTACAAAAATGCTTGGCTGTCTCAACAGTGCTTCTTATTAAGTGATTGGCTGTAAAGGAAGTCATTTCTAATATTCTTTGACTGAAGAAAAAGATTTATGCATACTTTCAGTGTGCTATGATGATTGGTAAATTGACAGAAGTATGCATTTCTGGGTTAATTTCCCCCTGTTTAATGGACATAAGAGACTTGAAGAACAGAAAAAGAAGGCATCCAAGCCAACCGGTGTTCCCTCTAACATTTTCTATCCTTGGATGTGTTGAATTTTCTTTTGGGCTGGTTGAAATTTCTTATGTGCAACACCAATATTGAGGTAGTGTGTGCATGTGCACTACCAATGCAAACAAACATTTATTTGCAAGAGAGCATGACTAATACACTAAGGCTTATACAGTTTCTCTGGAGAATGGTTTAGGATTAGGTTGAAACAGAGACCTATAAAAATAGTTCTCCTGGCTTGAAACTTGCACCTTATGTGTGTCACCAACTCAAAGACTAGAAGCCCCAGAACAAATTAAATTAACACATGGATTCAGGGTTTGTAGACAGATGCATGTTTCAAAGAGCTAGCAAATAAGATTTCATCTACTACAAAACTACTATCACCACACCTAATACTTGCTACTTCTGATGTATAAGAGTCAGAACTCTACCATGTAGCAAAGATCTGGCCTTAATGCAATATTAATATATCATGTATTAATTTAAAAATCATTAAGATCAGCATTTTAGATATCTGCAACACTCCAAAGTTCTGTTAAAAGAGTCTTTTTATTTCTTACCTTAAGTCGTTAACACCTATGTAACCTTTGTTTTAAACATAATTATGCAAATTTTCTGGCACACTGCCCACCCCATGCAGCCTGTTTTCCCCTCCAACCCAGCTAGACAGAGAGGACTATAGCAAGTGAGTCAGGACACCCCAAACAAACTGCCTCCACCTCATTGCATAGATGCTAGCATCCACGCACCCCCTTTCACCCGCCTACTCCTGTGCAATCTGCTCCCTGCAGCCCAACGGGGGGCTGGATAAAATCCTACTTCTCGAACGTGCTGTCACGAGTAGTCTAGCTGGGAGTTAGGACAAGACACAGCACAAACAAACTTCCCCCTGCCTCCACTTCACCCCAATGCCAGCACCAACCCGCCCTTCCCCCTCCCCATCTGCTCTATGCAGTAGTTTCTTACCTCCCCATTTCCAGCCTAGGAGGCTTGAGGAGAGTGCTGATTTTTCTACTCCTCTCTCAGCTCATGCAGATGGGACTCTCCAAACTCCCCTCCCTTCTGGGAGCTCCTCTGTTTCAAGCACACAGCAGCTCAGTTAAGCTGCTGTTTAGCAACTGCTGGACAGTAATGATTTTTGGCATATGCTGGGCTTGACCCAGCAACATCAAGTTAAAAGACTCTAGAGAAGTGGTGGGCAACCCATGGATCATAAAAGTAATCAGATTGTGGGCTGTGAGACATTTTGGTAATGTTGACTGTCTATGGGCAATACTTCTCGCAGCTCCTGATGGCTGCAGCTTGCTATTCACAGCCAATGGGAATTGGGAGGACAGCACCTGAAGGCAAAGGAGATGCGAGGCCATGCTTCCTGTAGCTCCCATTGGCTGGGAACAGTGAACTGAGGCTACTGGGAGCTGCTGGCAGTGGTGCCTGCAGATGGTCAACATTAGCAAAATGTCTTGTGACATCAGATTACCCTGATGGTCCACCTGTGGCCCAAGAGCTGCAGATTGCCCACCACTGCTCTAGAGTCTGTTGCCAACTGGCTGAGCTGTCTTCTCCCTTCTTCGTTGTCTGTGTCGTTTTACAATCCAAACTGAGTCTGTTGCCTGTCCCTGTTATCTCTATACCTCGAAAAGAGCAGAGAATGAGGTATATCCTGAAAAGATTTCTTTTGCAGAAATCATAACTCGTCTCAGAAAACTTTTGGTTACTTCTGTTTGCCCTGTGAAATTTATTTTCTGTTTTCAAAATGGTGCCATTACACATACTTAAAAGAAAACCTGATAATCACATAGCTATTTATGTCTTGTGACTTGCCCGCTTACCTTATATCATCACAATGGTATTTAATATTATCCTAATTCATTGTCACACGGCCCAAAATGAATTTGGACCTCTTTAACTGCCCTTTTAGGAATCAGGACAAACTGCCCTGTGTGTTTCATGGTGGGTAGTAGCCCTAATGCAATGCTGACAGACCCTGGTCATCAGCACACAGGATTGAACGTGAGACCTCTGAAACTTAGCGTATGAGCCTCTACTGCATGGGTTAAGTCACATACACTAGAACCTCAGAGTTATGAACACCAGAATTACAAACTGACAGGTCAACCACACACCTCATTTGGTACAGAAAGTATGCAATCAGAAAGCAGACACACAAAATAAATAAATACAAAAATAGAGCAAGTACAGTATAGTATTGTGCTTAATGTAAAACTACTTAAAACGGGGGAAAGGGGGGAGAGGGAACAGCATTTTTCTTCTGCATAATAAAGTTTCAATGTCGTATTAAGTTAATACTCAGTTGTAATCTTTTGAAAGAACCACAATAATGTTTTGTTCAGAGTTATGAACATTTTAGAACTAGGAACATTCTCCATTCCCAAGGTGTGCATAACTCTTAAGGTGCTACTGTAGCTCTGAGCCAAGGCTGTAGCAGATTCCTCAATCACTAGCTGCCACTAGAGGGGGACAGAGCATTATACCAAGCAAGCATCTGTTACACTAGTACTTATTGGGCACTGGAAAAACTGCTCAGTTTTAGTGCAATGACTTATTCTTTGGTTTAAATGTCAAATTTTCATCAATCTGCAGATTTCCATTTGGTACAAGAGTGAGGACATGTGAGGTGTTACAGCTTTGGTCAGTAGGGAGGGCCTGGGTTTGCATGATTGCATTTCCTAGAATTCAAATGTCAGACAAAGTAATAACCAATTAATTGCTCCAGGTAGTCTCAGGTCTCCTGTTCAGCCCTCTTGCACAGACAAGATTGTGTGCTATTGTACTTTTTATCTAGTCTGTTTTTAAATGTGCCTAGCAATGGGTCTTCAAAACTTAAATTATTTCACTGAATAATTGTTCTCATTGTCAGGAGGCATCCCCTGATGTGCTGCCTAAATTTCCCTATTCCTTAACTTCATCCCATTATTACTAATTATATTCCCTTTATTAAGACAAATATATTGTCTTCCTCATTTGTGTTTAACTCTTTGTATGCAGGCTGCTGCTTGTTTTCTCTTATCCCATTTGTTGCTTATGC